GTTCTGTGAAGTTTTCATGAAGGCTCGGCCGGAACCGGACTCCTCGTGGCCGGAGCGGCGGTTACCTCCCTCTCTCTCTAGAACTTTCCTTCTCTCTCTATAATTTTCTTTCTCTCACTATTTACATTCTTTTCTTTCTGTCCTTTCTCCTTCTCTTCCTTTTTCCCCTTTATTTTTTTCTTTTTCTCTTTTATTTGTATGTTACTAAAAAAAGAGGGTATAATGACCAAATTACCCTCCAGGGATTAACCTTCACCATCCTTTTAATTTTCTATCATTTTTCTTTTATATTTTTCTTAAGTTCTTTTATTCCTCATCATTTTTCTCTTCCGTCTCATCTCGGATTTTGGTCTTTAAGACCTTCACTAAAATTGAGAGAGATCGACTTTTAAGGTAAACTTAGATTTTAAACTTTCAATTGAGGCTCGGGTATTACATTTTGAAATTGGATAACTTCGTAGTTTCAAGTTAAATCATGAATAACTCGACATTTCCAATTACTGGATCCCTCCTCAGAATCCCCACCCCTTGTGGACATCTTAGAAAACTCTACTGTCTATAAAGTTAAAGAGAACTGACAAACAATCGTGTTATCCAATCGTGTACACAAAAAATTCTGTAAGCATGATATATTAGAAGCAAATTTCAGTTGCCAAAGTAATTGGCTGATGAATCTACAGATGAGTATGATAGGCATAATTAGATTGCAGGTTGGAAGAACAGGAGGCACTAGTACTAGAGCTTCGATTTGCAGATTCAAACAATACCCTGCAAAAACTACTGGAAGCAGTGGACCAGTGATGCTGAATCCCACTTGGAAGAAAGGAATGAGACTCGAGTTTTCTTTGAGATTGAGTTCGAGTTTTGTAATGTTCATTATACAACCTACACAAATTCTAAATTTTGCACGAAGTTTTCGGTCATACATTTCGACCAAAGTAAGGTGGAAGATGAAATTGTCCACCTAAATTAAACAAAGCAGCTCTCACACGTCTATAAATGGAACAAAATACAAAATTCACAACAGATACAGGATTTTCTGTAGAAATTTCTCCAAGGTAAAATTACTTGCTCGTTTCTTGAACCTTATCGTCCTTCAAGATGTCACTTGAACATGAGTGTGTGTGTGTGTGTGTGTATTCATGTCAATCTCAGTTTTTACTATCGATGCGATCTAATGTAATAGCGCTTTCATCTCTAAGCCAGACCAAATCAATCCACAAGAAGAACTATAATTCAATCATTTCCTCCTTAAGAATGTTAAATCATTCTTTTCCTACTTGTAATACGAACTTAAAATATAGATGATTATGCATATATGCCTACCTCTGCAGGTATGCTAACACGTAATATTGTTCGTCCTCCAGAGTTCAAACATGATCGACCTACAACAATCCAAGAAAGAAATATTTCAGGAGCAATTGTTGGCAATAGTGACCACTAATTAGGGCTGAATGCGCCCTAATTACGTATTCAAGATAAATAAATTACCCATAATCATGTTAATTGAATTTCAAACTCGGGAAGATTTACCTTCCCACTATAACTCGGGAAATTCCGAACGCCAGTGACAACGTTAGCCGTGTTGAAGAAGCTCTGAGCGTGAGCGCCCACCAACATGAAAAGGCACATAGCGAGAAACGGCGGCCGAAGGAAGACCCCAGCAACGGAAAACTAGGTTAGAAAGTAGCCCAAGAATCACTGAATTACACCGGCCAAGGGAACAAACCACGGCCCACGACGACCATCATTAACGACGACCTACTAGTGCATTGAATCCATAGGCTAGCTTCTGTTGATACCCATTAGACGTTTCACCTGGAAGTCTCCGATTCCAATTCCATTGAATTGAACATGCTTTGCCCACTTCCTCTTCCCCCCGCCCTCTCTCTGGTCGTCGCTCGAGGCTTAACAAACTCCGAAATTCTCAACTTCATTTCAATTCTGCCTGGATCATCTTCGATTGGGAATTTTCCGATTCGATCCAGTTCGGAGTCTACCGTAATTTCCCGCGAATTACTCTGCCAAAAGGGATAGAAAGCCGCCATTTCAAGCGGTGGCGGGATCAAATACTAAAATCTTGTCCGTTCTGATTCCTTTCTTTTTCGACTTCTTTTAGGACAAGAAACCAATTTTGATCGGTCTCGTATTATATATTACTTTTTTATCCTATAAAAATCATCACTTTCATCAAATTAGAGATAAATTTAAATAAATGTGGTTATTTTAGCATTAAAAATTAAAAAAAATTTAAGATTTTTTATTCACTTTATGGGTAAAAACATTATGTGGGGTCAATAAGATACAATATTGTAAAAGCTTAGACAAAATACACCGCAAATTTCCTTCCATAATTCTATAAAAATCTATAAGCAATCTTGTGATCCTCATTCTGTCTGGTAACTTCAACTGAGACGTTCGGCTCTACTTTGCAAAGCGTAAAATCTCCTGGTTCGAAAGAAGAGAGCAGCAGCTACCAGAAATCCCACGAAAGCCACGACGGCCATGACTAGAAAAGACACCGCAAAACAGTGTGTGCCAGAGCAGGACCCATGTTCTCCGGCAGCTTCCCTGTCGTAGATGTAACCGATCACTTTAACAGAAAAAACGTACGACCCCAGAGGGCTGGCTGTGGCTATGGCGTTGAAAATAGTTCCCATATGCTCTAACCCAAATATGTCCGAAGTAATTGAGGGCATGAGCGACCACTGTGAGCCGTAGCATATGCCAACAAGAGTTGAACCCACGTAAAGATTTCCAGAGAAACTTGAGGCGATCACGAGGTGCCCACCGCTCATTATGAGTAGAGTGATTGCCATTAACAATGGCCTGGCACAGCCGTATGAGTGGAGAAGATAATCAGAGGCGTAGCCAGCTCCAAAACGTCCAAGAAAGTTCCATATACTCCATAAGGAAACAAATGTCTTCGTCTCTGTTACTGTGTAGCCAAGAGACTGGCCAAGCTGTGTCATGTTGTTTATTGTGGCTAATCCAGAACCCATTCCACACACCATGGCTGTAAACAACAGCCAGAAGTTTATAGTGCATAAAGCTTCCAAGACATTCATGGCTTGTGGGGTACTAGAGCTTGCAACAGCCATTATCTGGCGCTCGTCCCTGGGCAACTCGTGATACTCAACAAGATCCTCTGTATCCACTGACTTAGATTTGTTAAGAACATGGGTTTTTTCAGTCACTTTTAAGTCCTCCCTCCGAGCATTAATGGCGATTCCAAGAGGAGCAGAAAGAAGAATTAGGAGTATGGAGAATGTGAAGGAACGAGTCGATGATGGAAGGGAGAAAGTGTTGTCTAAAATGATGACAGCCATTAGGTAAAAAGCAACTATCACGGCATGTGCAGATAATGAGTCCAAATGCTTCCTCTCGTTTCTGGACTCTGTTCTGTCAATTCTGATAAACCACATGAACATGATGGAAAGAAGTGTGGGCAAAACCGCCAGCAAGAGGAGAAAATTGCTTGGTTCTCCATTGCAAATCGTGTTATAAACTTGGATTACCAGTGCTCCACTTAGACCAAGATATCCCTATCCAACAACAAAAAGCGCACACATTCAAAAGAGATCCCTTCGACGGTTACAAATGGTATCAGGGTCTAATATCGGGCAATGTGCCAGCGATGAGGCTAAATCCCGAAGGGGTAGATGTGAAGCTGTGTGCTAGTGAGGACGCTAGTTCCAAAGGGTGGATTGTGAGATCCCATGTGAGGAGGCTAAATTCAGAAGGGGTAGACATGAGGCTATGTGCCAGTGAGGACGTTGGGTCTCGAAGGGGTGGATTGTGAGATCCCCATGTGAGGAGGCTAAATCCCGAAGAGGTAGACACGAGACTATGTGCAATTGAGTACGCTGGTTCCCGAAGGGGTGGATTGTGAAATCCCATGTGAGGAGGCCAAAACCTGAAGGGGGTAGACACGAGACTGTGTGCCAGTGAGAACGCTGGTTCCGAAGGGCTGGATTGTGAGATCTCATGTGAGGAGGCTAAATCTCGAAGGGGGTAGACATGAGGTTGAGCATCAGTGAGGACACCGAGTCTCAAAGGGGTAGATTGTGAGATCGCATGTTAGTTGAGGAGGAGAACAAAACATTATGTTACAAATGGTATTACAGCCAGACACCGAGTGATGTACAAATGAGGAAGCTAAATTAGACTGTGTGTTAGTGAGGACACTCGGTCCTGAATAAGTGGATAGTGAGATCTCATGTTAATCGGGGGTGGAGAACAGGGGAAAGAGTACAAAACCAATGGTTACAGGTAATTATGAGCATAAATTGGAAAGTAGATACTCTACGGTATTGAATAATACGATAAGGGTGAGAAGGATTCAGAACTAAGGGTTTGGGTTGGTACCTTCATGATGCCCACAATCGTGCCGCTATAGTGCTTGAAATTGTGCACGCCAGTTACCACATTCGCCGTACTGAAAAACGTTTGCGCATGTGAAGCAAGCAACATGAAGAAGCACATCACTGGAACCGACGGCCGATCGATCAGTCCGGAGACAGCGGCCCACATGAAAATATATCCGAGGAAGCACTGAACCGCTCCCGCCGCGTACACCATCCATGGCCCAACAAAGGGTCGGCGGGGGAAGGGGGAAGTGACGGCGGAGCAAAGAAAGCCAGAAATGATGCCGGCGTTGGTACCGATGTCCTTGAAAACGGAAACGGTGCCAAGGGTGGATTGGTCGTAGCCCTGTGAGGACTTGAGAGCCGAAGAGTAGATGCTGAAGGTGGCGGCCCCGCAGCTGCATTGGATCCAAATCGCAAACGCCGTTGCAATCCATTTACTGGCCATAAACCCCGAAGCTTCCATCTCCGGCGGTGGGTTCTTCTTCTGGCTCTCGTTCTTCGTTGTAAAGTAGAAGCATTTGAGTGTTGTAGACGGTATACGTGTTCGGTCAGGAATTGATTTGATTGTGTGGCTCGTGTTTGGTCTTTTTTTAATTTTTATTTTGACTTTTGTCGGAAAATTGGTGAAATCGATCCCATCCCATATTCTTGGAGGAAAGTCTGACTCGGAGTATGACATTTGTCTTCATTTGTCAGGCCCAGTTATCACAATTGAGCCCAAGTAGAGGCGAAAACGGGCTTGGACATACAAATGGGTTCGACCCGGTGGGCCAGCAGCCCCATCTAATCAGTAATTAATTAAAACATTAAAATTTATATTTGATTCTGTTATGAAAAGTTTATTAAAAGAATTATATTTTTATATTAAAGAATAAAACGTGAGGAGAGCACACTTCAGAGAAGTAACATGATTAAATGTAAGCAAAAAACGGGATTATAGAAATGAAAATGGGAGGCGAGGCACGTGGAGGCACGAGCAAAGCACGTATGAGGCCATCCCGACACACGCAATCAGATCTGGACAAAGACTGACGTGGCCCCACCACACGTGATGACAAGGTACGGACGGCATGAACATAGCCCTTTTTAGTTTTCCTCCGACATGTTTTTGTTTATTCCAATTATTTTTGTAAATCAATTACCTTAAAGAAAGTCTACGTCCAAAACAAACCCCAAATGATTGACAACATGTACTCCACGCGCTTCTCTCGCACGTGGTTTTCCACGCTATCAAAATTAGATTTCTGATTAATTAGATTAATTTATTTTTTAAATCATTAAATCGGTGATTAATTGAACATTGAATAATTGGCTACATTTGCTACTGGAAGAGAACTCCCATTCAAATTTATATATTTTTCATATATATATTCAAATTTCAAATTCTTCTAAAAATATAATGTCGGGTTGACCTTAAATTTATTATTATCCAAATATTAGAAATATAAATAAAAAATTTTAAAAATTTAATTGAGCACATTGCAGAGTTATTTATATATAAATTTAGTTCGGATAGTTTATATACTAAAAACCATAGGTTATACAAAATCAAAATTGGTTGTTATAATTTGGACTAGTAACCTATTTTCGTATTATAAGAGAACATGGAAGTTGTCATTTAATTTATTTTAATAGGTATTTACTTTCCTAAAAATACATTATAATTTAGACCTACAACTATGAATTATTATTATAGACCATATTATATATAAGTTATAAAATTTTAAATCCTTGACCAAGATCTGAAAGGGCGAGGAGGGACAAAAGATTTATTTTAATTTATATTTTTTTTAACAAAAAAAAAACACACACACACATAAATAAAAAGATTCAAAGTTTACTTTTTAATCTGACGTCATATTGTTTGTATTTTAAAACTGATAAAGAAAATTTATATGCCAAATAAATTAGGTGAGATTTTAAAGAATAAAAACGTAATTGACCCAATAAAATTTGAAGGAAAAATGTAAGTATATAATAAAACATCTGATTTTTTTTTTTTAAATATAAAAATTGATGTAAATTCAAAACGATGTTCAGATTCAAATATAATGTAAAATACTAATTAAAAAAAGTCAATAGTCAAAAAATAAAAGTGATGCATTTTAAAAAGAGTAATATTTCGGTTTTTATATATATATATAATTATGTTATGCATTGAAAATCCCTTTAATTCTTTTTGAATATATATTCCAAAGCTTGAAGCATACGGTTTGTTATATAAATAAATTAACTAAGGTCTTGATGAATAATTGAAATAATTTATTTTTAAAAAATTAAGATTTATGAATTTCTTTTTTTTTTTAATCCATATTTGTTCCGTTGGGCCATTTTGAAATCGAATTGGTATGTATTATTTTTAAAAGAAAAGTTGGGCTATCTTTATATACTATATAATTGGAGTTGTTTTGGTATTAAATAACATAGTAGGTGCAAGTATTACTTATATTCCTTATAATTTTAATTTTTACTTGCGAGGTTCATAAAGTGAAGACGAGGAAGGTTTTTTTTTTTTTTTTTTTTTTTTTTTTTTTTTTTTTTTTNTTTTTTTTTTTTTTTTTTTTTTTTTGTCTCCGTCCTCGTTACTTGTTTTAATCTTATCCCTACACAAATTTTCATTTATTTTTTTTGCAGTCATTCGCCAGAATTTTTCACAAAAAAATAATTAATTAGGATTGAATTCTCCAACTTATTTTTTCATTATATATATAATATATATTTAAAATTAGGTATAAATATTTTCCTCTTTTATTTCCTTTTTCCATTTTTCTACCCTATAGTTATATGTAGTAAGCAATTGTTGGCGTAAGTGACGCGAGAACTTTCTTTTTGAAATCTTCGTGCTCCCATTTTCTAAAACTTTCTTTTTAAACTGGGGCCAGAGGTTCGAGCATACATCACTTGGCCGTAAGTGACGCGAGAACGAATTAGCTTAACTCACTTGTTAATGTGAAGTGAGTGTCGCACAATTGGTAGTAAGGTGTAATCAAGTTTGTGGTGGAGGGAGAGAGAGGAAATGAAAAGGAATTGGCGGTTGGCCCGTTGGGCGTTAGGTACAACGTCTCCATCACTCACTTTCCGTGGGCAACCAATCCATTTTCGAACCGATCAAGCTTCCAATTAAAAAACCTCAAAAACTCGCATTAAAAAAAAATTTAGTTCCACTGCACAGAGAGAGAAGACTTTGGGAGGAGATTCCTTCATAAACCTCCCCCATTCCCCCCCTTCCCTCCTTCCGGATGCCAAATCTCCCTTCCTCTTCTTTCATGGGCGTCGGATTCCCCCTCCGACCTACTGGACCTCTATCTTCCTTGCATGGACGGCGCCACCGCCGCCTCTCTTGATCGCTCCTCCCACGCAAATCAATATCATGAAACGCCGGAAGCGCCGGAAGATTTCTACGCCGATTCCGGACTCTCACATCTTCCGCTGGCCGAGGCTCCGGTTCTAGTGCTTATTAAATTCCACACAGCGCTGCGATCCGAGCTTGCGGATTTACGGCGCGTGACGTTGGCCGCGGCGGAGAGTGGGTGTTATGGCCGCGAGTTCGTGTCGGAATTGATTCGGAGAGTCGAGTTTCTGAAACTTGCTTATAAGTACCATTGCGCCGCCGAGGATGAGGTAAGGGTTTCCATCTATTACTTATACGTATCGTTTCGTTACTCATAAAAACTGCGATCCAAAATTTGCGTTATGTTTTGTATTTCATTTCTTCTGGATTCGCCACTTTGACTTTTTTATCGTTTTTTTTTTTTAAGTATAGTCCACGTAATTATTTTGATAAATATGTCGCAATTAATTGAATAAGATATTAATTAATTTAAGTTCGAACATATAATGGAGCCACGTCGGAACAATGTAACGAGGTGGAGGAAGATTAAGGCGATAAAATAATAATAAACATCAAATGATTTAATAATTTTAAATTTAGTTGATACTCAAAAACTAAAATAGTTGGTAATCTATGCGCCATAACTCCTCCAAATATTTATTCTACAAATTTTTATATACTCATTTAAAATTCAAATCAAATTACCTTTATTGTCCCATCTTTTAGTTAATATAACCATTCAATTCTTTATATACTTATTCAATTCTTTAAAATTCAATTTAATAAAATTGTAGCCAAAATAACTGTGATTATACAAGATTTTAGGTCATATTTAATATCCATCCAATTCTTTATTTTCTATCTCCTTTCTAAAATTATAAAAAAAAAAAAAAAAAAAAAAATTTGTTTATTTTTTAAATAAAAATTTTGGCTAGAAATGTAAATATTTCAGAGAAAATCATTTTCAAATAGAAAATAAAAAATGAAATCATTATTAAACAATCCCTTAATATTTTGATTTAGAGTAATATAAATGTTACAATAATTTATATATATTTCTTTTTTTTTTCCAAAAAAAAATAATAAATAGCGACATAAACCGTAAACCCTAAGAATTATTAAATTATGATTAACCATTTTTGTTTTTATAATTTGGGTAAGTTTGAGAAAAAGAAAATAAAGACATTACTCGATATTATCCATTTTGAGTATAAGCTCAGACCTGATATGAATGGAGATAGTATTCTTTGATTATAAACAATGATCATTCTCTAAATCGATATCGATGTGACTTTCATCCCACACCAACAATAACAATGTTACGATATGATTAAATGGCAGGTTGTATTCCCAGCTCTTGATGTACACACAAAAAATGTAATCTCCACGTATTCTCTGGAGCATGAAAGCTTAGATGGCCTCTTCACCTCCATTTCTGAACACTGTGAAGAAATCAATGCAGAAAACAAAGATATCTCCAAGCCATTTCAGGAACTGGTTTTCTGTTTGGGCACGATTCAAACCACCATTTGCCAGCATATGATCAAAGAAGAACAACAGGTTTTTTTTAGTTCCTCTTCCTCTTCCTCTTCCTTTTATGTTCATCTACTTAATTTAATGTAGTCGGCGTTCGTCGATATATACGACCGTCCATTTCCAGGTTTTTCCATTGCTGATCAAACAGTTCTCTGCAAGAGAACAGGCGTCACTTGTGTGGCAATTCATTTGCAGTGTGCCGATGATACTATTGGAGGAGCTTCTGCCATGGATGATGTCTTTTCTTCCATCGGAGCAACAATCGGAAGTCGTAATCTGCCTACGAGATGTAGTACCGAACGAGAAACTTCTGCAAGAGGTATAGCCTGCGAACTGCCTAGGTTTTCCATGTCGCTGCTACCGAAAGCATCAGTAATAACAAACCTAATGTTTCTTTGTGAAGGTGATAATGTCTTGGCTTGGCAACAGTGAGGCGCCTTGTAGAGATGTAGAAGCAGAAGGTATGAAGGTGCATTCATCTCAGGACAGTGGACAGAGCCCCGTCGATAGCCTCCACCTCTGGCATGGTGCCATTATGAAGGATCTGAAGGAAGTTCTAAAATGTCTGTTCCAACTCAAGAGCTGCACTTCAACAGCTCTTTCTAATCTTGATTCCTTGGTTGTCCAAATAAGGTTCCTGGCTGATGTAA